GTTCGATCCAACTGTACGGTTGTGAAAACTGGCCCATTAGATCAGCGGACATAAAGGCGCTAGTTACGTTCGACCACCGGTGCCTTCGCAGTTTGGCACACCTGGTTGGAACATCGTGTATGCAATTAGCATGTTCGATGCCTTGTTTATGGCACAGGAAGGGAAAGTGAGCCGCTCAGTACCGGTATTTCACGCACCAGGCTCCGATGGTTGGGCCGCGTATTGCGCATGCCAGCATACCGAGTCCCGCGACGCGTGTTGCTTGCGCGACTGGGGTGTGGATAGAAGAAGAGGGCAGGCGACGCGATGACTTGGTTAAGAGGAACGAAGGTCCTTACTTCGGAGTTTACCTCGCTGGGAGTCGTTCGGCACCATGATTGGGGTCAGGAACAGGATGACTACGTTTGGTTGGATAATTTGTTGACATAGGTAGGGCCCGACCTCAGTGGCCTTTGTGTTGCGAGTTTCTTTATCCCTCCCCCTTCAATTACGGTCTCTTTTCCCAGGCACAATAAAATTCTTTTTCCGTAGCATCTTATATATATATATATATATATATATATATATATATATATATATATATATATATATATGGTTGGCGGCATCAGGTTTCGCATTTGCCTGTCACTGTGGCCAGCCACAGGACGCCTGCGCCTACTGAGGGACCATGGATGGCTTGCGCTGCGTCACCAACAGCTCCAACCACATACCCCATATCCAGTGTAAACCCGAAGGAATAAGACCGGGAGGCATGCGGATGGGAGCCACGTTTCATCAACGGAGCCGGCCCACACTCCTTCACAGACAAACAAAGGCACGCTGTATTTGGGGAATCAAGCGCACACAAGGCGGTGGCTGGACCACAGTCCGCTCCACACTGAGTGCATGGAACCACTCTTCGAGCCTAGCACGACCACAAGAACCGCGCACCCCGTCCCCTTCAGCAACGACCAACTGTCTCTTGGAGCCAGTATGGACGAGGTAGTGGGTAATAGACAGGTAGGCACCTTGTCAACATGCACATCAAGCGCAGCCACACCTGGGTTGTTAAACAACAGCCAATCATTCGAAATGCCGATATCGATTAAAGTAGACGCATATGACGACATAAATGCTCGCTAAATGAGCATATAGAAGAAATTGGTTATAAGTGAATCCGTGATAAGTACAAAATGTCCGAAACTTATTTAAAAAATACCACGCGATAAAATTACGCAAGTTTACTACAATTTGCGTGAGCGACGTGTGCAAGTAAGGAGAAGATTATCAAGTACGCAGAACAAGCCAAATAAAGTGGAATGAATTTTATCCACATTAAAAAGACCTAGTTTAAGTGTAAGTTGGTTTAGCCAAACTGCGGTGAAGGAGCATCATGAATGCAACATCAGCCTCAGCAAGGGGCACACATACATACATGGTTGGCGGCATCCGGATTCGGATTTGCCTGTCACTGTGGTCAGCCACAGGACGGCTGCGCCTACAGAGGGACCATTAATGGCTTGCGCTGCACCACCCACAGCTCCATCCACACACCCCATATCCAGTGTAAACCCGAAGGAATAAGACCGGAAGGCATGTGGATGGGAGCCACGTTTCATCAACGGAGCCGGCCCACAATCCATATTATGTAAGCAGCAGCCTATAAAAAACATCGAGCCATCGAAAAACTATGAGGAACAAAGGTAAAAAAGGTACATATATCAAGAAAAGTCAACAAATTGTTTTCACACGCTATTTTGTTCTCTTTTGTCATCTTGATTGATATAGCTCTAATCACACTGTTCAAAATATTTAAATAAACAATTCATCCATTGAGTTAGGTTCCAAGCCATATCAGCAAGTGTGCCCAGCTACTGGCAATCCTCATCTTTGGGTCCCAATAAGGAAGGCGTACAGGGCCGATGATGACGAGACAGGAATTCAGCGATTTTATGTTTCGCCGCCGTCGTTGACTGACCTCCACGCGTTCTCTTCGAATTCAATCCCGTGCGGCATGGTAAGCTCTCGCATGACATGCATAGGTGGCCAAGCCACCTCAGTTGACGCATTGCAACAAGGTGATCAAGTGGAAAGCTCATGTTTCTAAAGACGCGACGCCTGACTCTATCGTTGAGAATCCGGTGCTGCCACCACATACGGGGTATCCTCTGCAAACATGTATTGTCGAAGACCGAAAGTCGACGCTTGTCGTCACACGAATTGGACAGGATTCACTGCCGTACAGCAGGACAGGGTGGACAAAAGTGGTGTAGATCCTCCCCTTTAAGGATAGGGAGCTATGTCCCGACCGGGTATTGGCGATGCGAAGAGATACCTCCTTCCTAATAGTGCAATCAGCAGAACTACAGCTTCCGAGGTAGACAAGGCTGTCCAACTCTAGATATGTTCCTTCAATGGTAAGTGAGGGGGAAGACGAGTCCCAGTCCTGGAGTAGCACTTTACGCTTGAAGGGAGAAAAGCGTATGCCATATTTAGACGCTTGAATTGCCAGACGGTTTAAAATGAGCTGCACACTCTGCGAATCGTCACCGAGCAAAGCGATATCATCAGCATAATCTACTTCGGTCAACCGATTGCCAGAAGCTTAAAACTAAGATCTTAGGAGCTTTCCAGAGATCTCAACAGGGCGCTATTAATTGCAAAGCTGAACAGGAATGGGGACAAAGGGCACCCCCTGTCGCACACCATTACTGACAGCGAAAGGTGAGGATAGCTTGCCACAGACCTTCACCACACTTGACAATTGGAAAGAAAGCAGCACTATAGCCAGCTGGTAGCTCTCCAGAACGATGTCCATCCGTTACTGGTGGCTCAGCTGGCGTGCTTCTGTTGCATATTCTAAATGTCGTTTATATTGCAGGTAATAGCCGTGTTTTCCACCTCTGACCAACGTGTATAATGATGATGCATCGGGTTGGAAGCATAATATATTCATAGATCAAGCGGATCGATTTCACGATTTTAAAGAACGATACTCGCTCGAACGGTGGTCAATCAGCCAGCTGGTCATTCTGGTTTTGTTAGTAAACATAGGAAGTTACCAGCAAACGCAAAACTGTGCAAGATTCTAAATAAAGTAACGTCGTACCGGTGTTAACTTGTTGTATCCCTGCCCTCCATCTACGGAAGATCTGCAGACAGCGACACGCTAATATTTGGCACGATGGTTAAGCAAGCAATGGGGAGATGAAATGCACACGAAGCGTTGCTGCAGTCACGTGGCTGGTGTAAGATGGACACAATCAGTACAGAACAAATGAGCATAATTGCGTAGGTGAAATCCCGATCCCACGTACCTACCGAATATCCAAAGGAGGTAAATAAAGGAAGTCATCATCGTTGTTACACGATAGCTGAAGGTGAGAAACACCTCAGCTATTGTGCTGCAATACAAAAATTAAGAAATACGTAAAAAGCAACTCTTAAAGAACGGAAAAAAACTAGAGAAACAAGAAACATGATCTTAATTATCATACTCAGTTGGATTATGGTTGGAGGGGGCGGGTAAGTGGGAAGGGGAGGGACAAAGAAACTCACAACACAAAGCACACTGAGATCGGCCTCTAGCCATGTCAACAAACGTATCCAAACACACGTAGTCATTGCCTATGAGATCCTGGCCAGGCAGTCGGGCGACAGCAACCGAAGCCAACTTAGAAGTAAGGGATTTTATTCCTCTTGACCAATTCATTGCTTAGTCTCCCCTCTTCTTCTACCAAACACATTCGGCGCACAAGCAACGTATGTCGCAGGAGTCGGTGTGCTGGCATGCGTAACATGTGATCCAGCCATCGGAGGCCGGTGCATGAATTAATGGTGCTGAGCGGTTCACTCGCTCTTCTTGCACCAAACACGTGACGGCGAAGACGTTTATTACTCACGTGGTATTCCCACCAGAGTTAAGAAAAACTGCGAAGGTAACGATGGTCAAAAGTAACGAGCAACTTTAGGTGTGTCGACCTGATGGGCCAGGTTTCACAACCGTATAAGAGGGTTGAAGGCACGACTGCGTTATAAACTGCCCTTCAGGGTGACAGTAATGTTGCGCCGACGCCACAAATGGCGGAGATTGAAAAAAGCATATAGACCTCTTGCTAAACGGTTCGTGACCTCATCTTTCATCCCACAGGCGTTAACATTAATGCCCAAATACTTGAATTGCTGGACGACTGCTAGCTGATCGCCAGCAAGGGTCAGCGCATGGGTGAGTCCTTGCCAATATTGGAGGACTTTGCATTTCTACAGTGTAAAGCAGAACCAGAAACGATCGACAGTCAGTTCTAAATTGTCTAGTGCTGCTTGGTACGGGAGCTGTCAGAGATGGGAGCAATGTCGTCGGCGTACTCAAGAATTTGTTCACCTGAAAGCAGCTCAACACATTGTAGGTCTCGTCCAGCGAAGGTTGTTTCCATGACTTCGTCAACAGCGAAGTTAAAGAGGAAAGGTGACAAAGGACAACATAGCCTTGCACCGCTGGAGATAGTTAAGGTCGCTGACAGCTTGCCATAATCCCTCACTATGCCAGAACTAGGCGAGTACAGCGCTCTTATGACAGTTACATACTTATCGGGCACACCTTTCCTGAGCAACCAGACCCAAAGGGCACATCAATCCATCTTTAATGTCGAGGAACACCAATACGGTGGATCGCCAAGAAATATGACCACGAAGTTGCTTATAAAAATCGCGTAAAAGCCAACCGACTAAATCCAATGAGCACGTATCGCTGTAATTCTTGAGAAGAGAAGGTATCTTAATAGTTATTTTGAAAGGTATCGGGGAATGTTCTATGTACTAGAGCTATAACAAAATTGCTCAATGCTTATTCAGCTCCAGATTTATTTTCAACGTGGTAAACACCATCTGTCATCAATGGAATTGAACTGAATTTATAGATCAAATAGACAACACCGAACGGTCAGAACATGTCCAAAAAAGTTGATAAGCACAAAATAGATGCTAAAAAACCGAGTCACGCGTAACAGCTGAGGATGACTCACTTGATTCATCTTGAGTGTGCTTAATGGCGAAACACTGCTCTTCCTTATTGAAGAACTCCACCAATACTTTAAATTTGCGAATGTCTGAGGAGAAATCAAAGTGAGAAAACGGTTATAACTCTATTTCCAATGCTCGGTAAGATACGCTAACACTATACGAGGATCATGGAGAAGAGTTCAGTAGGCAAAATAAAGAGACTGTCTATAGGAAGCAAGTCCAATTGCAAAAAGGTGCGTCGATTGACGACCCAAAGTTTCCCGAACAGGTGTAAAATTCATTGTAAACGGTACCAGTATGTAGTGTGAATTGCGGGAGAAATGAGATACAACGGACGAGGGGTAGAAACGGTAGGATCTGTGGGGACATTATAATCACTATACTCATTTTACACATTCAAGTCAAGAATGTGTTTTATGCACCCATGTAGAGTGAATATTCAGCTCTAACACCCACGATACATACAGGGATAAATAGAAAAAAAACGAAAAGTACACGAGGACAGATAGAAAACTATCTCAGCACTGTGCCGCAGGTCAGAAAATACAGATGTATTTGATCAACTGAGTGTCAGAAGAACTCAGCCGATGATACCGAGCAAATCGTCAGAAGCAAACGATGCAAATAAAACGAATGCAATGGGGGTTGGAAACAATCGCATAAAAAGCGGTCATCTTGCAGCAAGCCTTACCATGAACCGCTTCACCTTCAGTCACTTCATAAATATCCTTTACAAAGCTGTAAGTGGCTTCAGAGATATGGACCCTCCCCGCTTGTCCAGTGGACTCCATTTCATTCGCAAGAGTAACATCATTTGACCACACGTCGAACTTAAAGCGCCTGGTACCCACCAAACCGCATATAACTTTCCCGGTGTGTACACCTACACGCATGTTAACCTGGAAAAGGGGCGGAAAGGGGTGACAATGGGAGTTGAGGAAAGAGAATCACGCAAGCAATAATGCCACTGAAGGCAATTTTAATCATTGGTAGGTGGTTAGAGAGAATAGTTGAAGTTCATTGCGTTATCAAATACAGATAGTTGGCAGCATCCGGTTCCGAGTTTGCCTGTCAAGGAGACTGCGAATATCCAGTGTGTCTGCGCCTACAGAGGAACCATGAGTGGCTTGCTCTGCACCAGCCACAGCTCTATCCATACACTTCACACCCGGTGTAAACTAGAAGGAATAAAAAAGAAAGGTATCTCGATCGGAGCAACGATTGAATCTAAACCAAGGCACACGAATTCAACATGCACATCATTCACTCGTACAAAGGCGAAGATGCATACAAGACGTGCACATGGCCGTGGATGGGTCGCAGCTCATTCCAAACTAGATGGAACCATACTTTGAGTCTAGCGCGGTCACGAGGACCGTACACCACACCTCCCCAACCCCTGCTTAACAATCTCCTGGAGCCAGTAAAATCCAGGTAGCGATTTTTCGACAGGCAGGCACGTTGTCAAAACTCACATTAAGCGCAGCCAGATTGGGGATATCAATCATTAGCAAACCCCTGAGATGCAAGAAGATCATCACGGTGACAAACAGAAGTGCATTGTCTGGGAAAAAGTACGAAATTCCCGGAAAAAAATCATTAGTTCAGCGGTTCATCGATAGCAATCAACTATCGCATCGATTTCGAACTTACCGGAATGTTTCAACACCTGCAAGTGACAGACATTCTGCTGAAGATTTTGCGGGATCAGCATGGCAGCAAAGGAGGTATGCAATCTCCATGATGGACGGTTGCATATTATTCTCGGAACTAGTTGTTATCCCCAAGGCACATCAAAGATCCGTACTTAGACGGTTCCATGCTGAATATCCTGGGGTCAACCGGATGAAGACACTTGCCCGAAGCTGCGTGTATTGGCCATTGATGGACAGAAATGGCTAAAAGTGCCCACAAGTGCGCTGTTGCCACAAGGTCACCAGTCAAGTTGGAACTCCATTCATGGCCGAAAGCAACGAGGCCATGGTATCGTGTAAACGTCAAGTTCATAGGACAGATCAACGGTCAGTTTTCTCATTGCTGTTGACTCTTACAACAAATAGTATGAAGTGTCCCTTATGAATAGCACATCGACCAAAGCCACCGTAACAAAACTACGGCAAATCTTCGTCAGATTCGGCTGTCCAGAGAAACTTGTAATTGAGAACGGCACACAGTTCACTTCAGCAGCTTTCAGGGAATTCAGTTCAGTTCACCCTCAATCGAACTGCCAGGCAGAGAGATTCGTGGATAGTTTCAAGCGAGCTCTTCTCAAATCAAAGGACGTATAGAGGAGGTGATTGATCGATTGCTCTTCTTATACCAACCAACGACAAACCTAACCCAAAAATATATTACTTCAGCGATTCATCGGTTGCAATCGACTATCGCATCGACTTCGAACTTACCGGAATGTCTCAACACCTGCACATGACTGACATTCGCCTGGAGATTGGCTGAACTAGCGTGGCACTGTTAATTTTGGTAGTTGACCTTCTAATTCTAGAAGTCGGAGGTCATGAGGCGATCCATAAATATGACCATGATCTGCTGCCTTTGTACAGTTCTCGTTTGACTGCAGTTACCACGTTATTTTGAACAAGGTCGGTTTGACTTTTTACTTCGTTTGGGCTTGTGATGTGGAATAGATTAGGTGCATGTTTCAGAATTGCAGCAAGTGAGAAGATTTAACGCAAACTGCAGCCATGATGTAGCACACGTATCACATCGACTGCATCATCGGTCTGGGTCAATAAATAAGATGGAAGCGAAAACAACACACCTGGCATGCGCTGCGCTGATGATTGCCGCCTATTCATCGTACTCATGGCTTTTTCAGTATTGGCTTTTCGTGCCCACACTGATGGCTTACAATAACGGCCTGACTAAGGCACTGGTGACCACATATGCCACAGCACCAGGAGCTTGACGTCGATAGGCTAGACTACATCGGCGAGTGTCCCTTCCGCAAACGATGATTCTTTTCCAGATGCAGCAACACTATCGTAAAGCTGCGCAACTACATTCCTTATATGGGCAAACCACTGGCATCGACCCATTGTCATGGTCTCCAAACACCTAAAATCAACATTAGTTCATAAGTAACTCAATTCGATCATGTCCTGATAACGTAGCTTCGGTTTTCTCAGGCGCCACTTCCCTGCACACAGTTAGCCATATAACAGCTGCGTAGGTACCCGCCTCGAATCTATGCGACGGACATGTCCGAGACACTTCAGCAGAGGTATGCAGCAGACGTCTTCGACAAGCGGATGCGCAGCTCACCCGCCATCTGTAGATCGATAAAAAGTACGTCCTCTGGGTAGCAAAATATCAATAAGGTCTATGAAAACTCATTAGCAACCTGGATTTGCGGCAAAACCACCGACTCCATATCTGGCGATGGCTGAAAAAGACAAACAGTCTGGCTTGTGTTGACGGTGAGCCCGAATGTGGCGGCTGTCGAAGCGACCACCTAAGTCATGTGTTGCGACAGATCCGCGCTGTGTGCCAACAACGCGGTCGTCGATAAATAGCGAGATACGGAGAGTCGCCTCAAACACGAACGTTATCAGCTTGAAACCACGGATGCTAAGCAACTCACCATCAATACGGTGCTCCCCACAGCCACCATAATCACAAGCAACATCAAAAGCACAAGACATCATTGCATTTAGGAAAATATTAAAAAGGGCAGTTTTGCTTCACACCAGACAGCAGCAAAGTCATCCGAGGTTCGTCCACACAGCTGCACCATCGCCCGCATACCACTGCGCAGATATTAAATTAAACTTACAAACTTACTCGGACAACCAAGCTTGCATAACAGTCACAGTGTCTAGCGACCCACCGTGTCAAATGTCTTTGTGAAGTCAACAAATAGCGAGTACAATAACTGGTGTCGCTCTCGGCATTTCTTCTGCAACTGAGGAGCCGCGAACATCAAATCCACGGTGCTGCGGCGCGAATGGAATTTGCAGTACTATTCCGCCATGTGCAGATCAAGGACCAGAGTGACGAGGCGGTTGAGCAGAATTCGTGCGATCAAGTTCCGCAAACAACTCAACCACGATAATTCGTGACACATTGTTTGCTCCCCTTGCTCTTGTACAGTGGTAGCACGAGGGTATCTCTTTCAACTCCGATGGAACACGTTCTTCAAATCCCATGATTTGCACCAAGTGGTGCAGCGCATTTACCAACGCGGGCCCGTCATGGTTCGACACTTCTGACGGTATCCCATCGGACCCGGCGCACTTGCCATTTCGCAGCTGATCAAATGCTCTCTGCATCTCAACCAATGCGGGTGTGTCGACGACACTCGTCTTCAGCCCGTGCAACAGAGCCCAGTCAACGGTAGTTCAAGAGAAAGTCAAACTGCGTTCGCCAGATCTGAATTATGTATGCATTCGGTGCGCAGGCAGCGCCTGAAGTAACATAGAGCAGCGTTCTTAGCAGCTACACAGTGGGTCCATGCACTACAAGGAGTCCAAGAATTCCTTGTGTTAGCGGCGTTCGACGTAGCATTCCATCTGCTTCGCCTTCTCTGTCCACCAGGAATTCTTGATGTGACGGAGCTCTCGGGACAGTCGCCGTCGAATTCTGCGAAAAAGACAACTTCACTGCATCAACAGGGTCATCCATATGCGCAGCGAACGCTGCATCCTTCTCCGACACCAATACGTCAAACCACTCGGACTGCTTATAGTTTGCACGTTCGATCGCTTCAATGGCAGTAGCCATCGCCTGTTGACGGACGTGATTCCAAAGGTCAGTCACTGAAGCTATGGATCCGACATCACCAGGGGCAGAAGCCATCGGCTTCTCCAGTTCCACCCTCTTCTCAATAGTACCCAGTGAAAGAATATCAAATTTGCGCCGGTTCACGCCACGTAAACAATGAATAGATTTACGAAAATCTACGTACAATTTGATCCGTACCAACTGGTGATCATGGCCACTTAGCCACACGCAGTACACATGTCATGCGCACTTCACGCAGGTCACACTGGTGTACAGTAACATGATCGAGCACGTGAGCGTGACCAGTCCGTGAGTGCGTCCAAGTAGCAATATCACTCGCACACAGTGCAAACCGAGTGTTTGTAATCGTCAGGTCGTGAGTGACGCACAGTGAGATCCGTCGGTCACCGCTCCAGTTGGCTGTGCCAATACCACATGGACCGATTACGTCTGTCTACACGGAAGTATCATGCCCAACGAGCGCATTGAAGTCAATCAGTAGGAATAGTCAATCGCTCTTCGGCACAGACCGTACCATGGAGGACAAGTGAGCGCAAAACTGATCCCTCGTGTCAACAGGATAACACATGATGAAACTATAGTGCTAATAAAAGTGGAAAACTTACCTCTTATAAGTAGCAAGCGCAGTGCCATTAATTGTGGGCTGATGCCAGTAGACTCCCCTACCAGCTTGCCATTTAGGTGGTCGGATAGTGCAAATCCGACCCCATGTTCACGTGGGACTGAGTTGGCTTTCCCTCACATGTAACCAGCCCCAGCCTCATGTAGTTTGTCTTCGTCAGCGAGTCGAGTCTCGCTGAGTGCAGAAATGTCGATTCCGTAGTGTGCGAGTTCCACAGTGACCAGTGCAGGGCCTCGCTCGGGTCGCTCACTACTGTGCCGGTCTGGCAGTGTATGCATGTTCCAACACCGGATGTTGGATGCCTTGCGCTGAGGCATACGATTGTGGTGGAGGACAATGGCTCGTGTGGTGGCCTGTGTTAGAGGAAGTAGTTGGTTAGGTGAAATGAGGATAGAGGGATTAGGTACAAAGAAAGAAGAAAGAAAGGAGGAGTCAGCGGTCGCATGTTTCCGATTATCCACCTCACTGTACGCAGCAGATAAAGCGACCCTTTTCCTAATGCCAATGCGCGACGGTCGGTGCAGCATGACATCATCTGTATAGGCGTAATTCATGGTTAGTTTGTAGAATGGATACTACCATGGCGTCCACACCTGAACAGGAGACCCGGGTTCTCAGGCAAAGCCTAGGATAAAATGTACACCTCAAAAGCATCGGAGCGTGCGCCATGAATTAGTGAGCCAACTCATGCGGCATTGTGTGAGTTCTGGCTCTAAGTTAGAAAAAGGGTGTAACTCAACTTCCACACGGCGGTCGCCAAGAGTAGAGGAACAGGGCATGAGTCCACAGTACAACATTGAAAGCAGAGGGTGGACGACCTGTCCGGATCTCGCCGCCACAAGCCTCAGCGCACCATGGACTCTCCCGTCTGATTACATATACGGTTGGCGGCATCCGGATTCGGATTTGCCTGTCACTGTGGTCAGCTACAGGACGCCTGCGCCTACAGAGCGACCAAGGATGGCTTGCGCTGCGTCACCAACAGCTCCATCCACACACCGCATATCCACTGTAAGCCCGAAGGTATAAGACCGGGAGGCATGTGGATGGGAGCCACGTTTCACCAACGGACCCGGCCCACACTCCTTCACAGACAAACACAAGCACGCTGTATTTGGGGAATCAAGTGTACACAAAGCGGTGGGTGGACCGTGGTACTCTCCACACCGAGTGCATGGAACCACTCTTCGAGCCGAACACGGCCACAAGGACGCTGCACCCCGTGCCCTCCAGCAACGACCAACTGTCTACTGGAGCCAGTATAGACGATGTAGTGGGCAATAGACAAGAAGGTACCTCGTCAGCATGCACATCAAGCGCAGCCACACCGAAAATATCAAGCAACAGCCAATCACTTGAGAGAAAGACAACAGAAAATAAATCGAGTAATGCATAAGAAAACGGTGACAAACCTTAAATCAATGAGCATATGAAATAAGTTGTTTACAAACGAATCCGCGATAAGTTCACGAGGTCGGAAGGTATATTTTACGGAAATGCCACAAACACGGAAATGTTATCGAAATTAACCACAACTGGCTCAAGCGACGTGTGCAAGTTTATAGAAGATAGGTAGACATTTATATGAGAAAAGCATTAGGACAAAAGGGAAAATCCACCATCTGAAATAAAGTGACATTGCATGCAAACACGCGGTTAGTAAATTGAATGCAGCGTACCTACAAACGCTGCGCCAGTTCTGCCTATGTTCTCTGCAGGACCCGTCGCACAGTATATATATATATATATATATATATATATATATAAACCAACTTACACTTAAACTAGGTCTTTTTAGGCTGGATAAATTTCATTCCACTTCATTTGATTTGTTCTGCGTACCGGAATAATCTTCTATTAAATTTCCACGTTGCTCACGGTAATTGCGCTTATCTTCATTAACTTTATTACGTTGGTAACATTTTCTGAATCACTTCCGGACCTTTTTTTTACTTATTGCGGATTCGTTGCTAACCAACATACTTTATATGCTAATTTAGGGAAGAATTATGTCTGCATAGCCGTATTCCTTAACAGATATATTTTATTTGTTACTGTGATTTCAAGTGATTTGCTGTTGTTTGACATCCCCGATGCGGCTGCGCTTGATGTGCATGTTGACAAGGTGCCTACCTGTCTATTACCCACTTCCTCGTCCATACTGGCTCCAGGAGACAGTTGGTCGTTGCTGGAGGGGACGGGGTGCACGGTCTTTGTGGCCGTGCTAGGCTCGAAGAGTGGTTCCATGCACTCAGTGTGGAGCGGACTACGGTCCAGCCACCGCCTTGTGTGTGCTTGATTCCCAAATACAGCATGCTTGTGAAGGAGTGTGGGCCGGCTCCGTTGATAAAAGGTGGCTTCCATCCACATACCTCCGGGTCTTGTTCCTTCGGACTTACACTGGATATGCGGTGTGCGGATGGAGCTGTGGGTGGTGCAGCGCAAACCACCCATGGTCCCTCTGTAGGCGCAGGCGTCCTGTGGCTTGCCACAGTGACAGGCAAATCCGAAACCAGATGCCGCCAAGTATATAGTAAGAGGGACAGTGAAACAATCAGCTTGCCGTAGAGCGGAAAAACGATAGTGTTGCCGTAAGTGAAGCACACGGAACAAACATCAGAGCGAATAACATGCGCGTGAGTTCAGAGAGGTTTGAAAGCAATCGGTTGGTATAATAGTTTGGTAACGTTTCGCCCTCAACACACCAAGTGCACACTGATTCACCTGGTCTGACGAAGCTCTCATGGTGAGGGCGAAACGTTACCAAACTATTATACCAATCGATTGTTTTCAAACCTTTCTGAACTCATGAGTACTCGATCGGTTCCAAGTATCTTCCAAGAATTTGAAACATGCGTGTGAGTTCGGTATGGTACAAGGGGGCTGACGTGCACTGGACTATAAACAGATGATGCCAAAATTCGTGGTAGAATGTGTGGATTTTGAGGATAGCTCACCTAAATGGTGTTGAAGCATGAGGAGCAACGGCTTGTCTAACCATTCACTACGTCTGATGTAATCAAAATTGCGTGCAACTTAGGATGCCATGGAACGGAGTGAACGACATGCTCACCAGTGTGATTCTCATTTCGGGATGATGACGATGCAATCCAGTTCAGCTAAACAATCGCACGATGAGCACCAAAGTGTGGTGGGTCTGGTAGCTCCGGTAACTATAATCAGGTAACACTGTGTTACGAAGCGCAGGTGACAGAATGCTGCCCAAGCGACTAAGCTCACCTCCTCTTTGTGATCCTCATCGAACTGCTGAATGGCCAAACACATTGCGCGTCCCATTTCAACTGCCCGTTCGGCATGATCGGCCACAGAATTAGGGCATCCGGCTACACAGTAATAACAATCGCCTAATGTTGCGATCTTTTCACAGCCTGTTAGTTCACAGAGACGATCGAATCTTTGAGAGAAAAGAGGGCAGAAATGAAGGTGGTTAAAAACTGCTCTCTGACGGTCGTTTAACACGTGTACCTACAAGAAAGCGTACAACAAAAGAAGCAGAAAGCTGAGAGCGTGTGGCTTTCTCTATCGATTTCTAAGCAATTGATATGAACAGAAAAACCAGTTGAGGAAGTGCATATTTAGCGAGAAACTGGATAAGTGCAAAATCTTCGACGCCAAATTCATAAATGAATAAACAATAATGTGAGTACGGTGTGAAGACTGTAAAACGCAATCGGGCGAAATGATCCGATATGCGTAAGTGCGGCGTCAGAGCAAAGTGAGGATAAGTGTACAATGCATGAATGCAAACCGCACCATCACACTATGAATAGCTGAAATAACGCAAAATTTGTGGACAGTGGAAATTAATGAGCCGGTCAGACTTGCGTCAACAACAAAAAAAATACCAAGGACATGCAGGCATAGTTGAGCTCATCTAACACAGCATTTTGGTATCAAAAATAATAGTGTGCGTAGATGATAGGAAAAATTAGATGAAAAAGACAACAAGATCATAGTGACGCAGTCAGCTCAGTACTCATGAGTATTTAATAGTAGGGCGTCAACATGAGTGTAACCAAAAGAGCTGATTACTGTATACTGTCATGAGCCCACCGAACCTTTAGACCAGACAAGCACCGCTCATAAAGGCGCACAAGCCCACCTTCTGGTGACATGTGGTGCAGTACGATCCCAGACATTTCCCATCCAGGGGAACTTCGACAGATGTGAGATGAGAAACAAAATGCGTTCAATTCCAGTGTACACCACAGAAGAGTGGATAATGGTCTCGCGTACCCATGCTTCAATTTGAAAAGCCCAATCGCAGGGGTCGAGTAACCCCGGAGGTCCGCATTCAACTAACCTCTGTGAGATCACCTAAGCAAGTTGCAGAGCAACGCATTTGTCAGAAGGATCCCGAAGTATAAACAAACATTTGTTAAGTGAAGAAGTGATCACATATAGGGAGACTTTGTCTCGGCTCGAATCACTCAAGACAATCTGCACACGCGGAGATAGTTGGAGTACTCGAGGTGTCTGTACTTCATAAAAATTTTCTTCCACGAATTGCGTGAAATGGTCAAATGAGACGAATTAGACCAAATTAACGGGTGACCGTTTAATAGCAGATCAATGCGATGGAGATCAGCTTTGCCATTCCAACAAGAGCACGAGGTCTTAATGTCTTAAACAGTCTTGAACTCTCGGTACATATTTAAGTGAAAAGAAATGTGATAATCGGTCTTCAATGTCGTATTGCATGAAGTAATTAAACTACAGATAACCGTCTTGGAAGGCCTTGTGAACAACCGGTTAGTGTACCTGTTGGGTGACGTTTCGCTTTCGATACAAGAGCTTCCGCAGGCGGCTGACCTGCTACACACTCCTGCCTAGATTTTAGCTGCCGGCCTGTAGCCATAAGAAGCACAAGCCTGATTTGTAATCCGAGGGCACAGGTTCGAGCCTGCGAAGGGACTGGACACTCTCTCAGTATTCTTGGCCAACGTGCGACTGGTGATGGCTGTCCAGCAGCGGAGCGTCAGTACTGCGTACCGGCGTGCTGCTGATGTCTTAGATTTTAGAACCATTGCGGGTTGCATTGGAGGGACGCGCGAGTATAAGGTGCAGTTGTATCGTTGACGTCAGTTAAACGGTGAAGAACAGGTAGCAGAAGGATTACAGTGCGACCACGACGACCATATGCATCGGAAAGGTGGAAGAGTTTGACACACTGTTTCGACCAACGGTGTCTTCGTGGGGTTGATCCCAAATTGTACGGTGTCCGATTACAACATGCTAAGAATGTGGTTGACGTTTTGTGACAATCCCGCGGGTGTAGACTAGGGCTACAATTGACAGTTTAAACGTCTACGTTGGCCTCTGACCACGTGAGTTCTGTTCGGACACCGCAGAGTTGGATGAAGCCTCGGGAGGCTAACCGAAGATTTGACAAAAAGCATCAGGAAATTTACAGACAATTATTCCACCTAGCACATGCTGTCTCTCTAGATGTGCACCACCGAAGTATCCGCATCAGTAGCCGGAGAGTAATTTCGGTTTGACATAATCGGGAAAGCAATGTCATTCTTGTACACAGTCTGTTGCCGCTGGTCATGGAGTTTTCGTTCTACAACATTATCTTCTTTCTGCTCTCTATCAGATGGATTGAAAGCTACAAGTTAGTTCATGTATTACTGGTGAATATTGTTTCCCCCTCTATTGGCATGGCGGCGCCAGCCATGGCACAGCAAGTGAACTAACTGTGGTTCAGTGCTTGGATTCACCTTGAGATTAGACACTTGAAGCGTTTTAAGACTGCTGGTTCAGACGCGTTTCCTCCGGAACTGTTCAAATATGGTTATACGAGAATTAGCACCCAGCTAACATCCATATTTATGATGATCTGGAGTAAATAGAGTCCCCAGTTCATGGGGAGTCAGTTATTATCCCATTCTTCAAGAAAGGCTCCTGGACTTCATAGTCCAATCACAGAGGAATCAGCCTGGTACCAGTTGCCTCCAAGCTGCTGCTATCCATCATGTTGCGCAAGCTGCCGCCAACTCGCGAGGCGCACTATCGGGAGGAGCAGGCTGGTTTACGTCCCGGTAGAGGTTGCCTGGATCACATTTTCATGCTTCGTCAGCTCCTTGGACATCGCCGCATACACCGCAGACCCACCATCGTCGTCTTCCTGGACATTCGGGCTGCATTCGACTCTGTAGACCGACCTGCCTTATGGCATTGCCTACTAAAGTACGGAATCCCTGAAACGTATGTCGCTATTCTTCGGGCGTAAGAGACTACGGCAAGCTCTTCGCAGTCTTTTCTGTCACCAGTGCTGTGCGACAAGGATGCCCTATGTCTTCATTTCTTTTCAACTTAGCGATTGAAGATGTCCTGTTGGAAGCTCTAGAGGGCATTCAGAATTCTGGGATTGAGTTTCTAGGTAATCGTGCATCCGACTTAGAGTACGCTGACAATAACGCCTTGCGCAGTGACGACCCTTACAGAAAGCAACTGATCCTTAACCGATTGGTGATTGAAGCGCCCATGTATGATATGTGCTTTGCACCTTCAGAGTGCAAAGTGCTGACACAGGATTGGCAAACTGCTCTTTCTCAGCTCGTCATCGAAAACATTTGGCTTGAGCAGGCGGATAGTTTTGTCTACCTTGGGAGCAGTATCTCTACCGACGGAACCAGTGGAGAAGAGGTGTCTCTCCGCACCGGTAAAGCTCGCTCGGCTTTTGCTAATTTGAAACATCTGTGGAGTTGTCGCGACATCTCGCTTTCGCTGAAAGGTAGGGTTTACAACGCTTGTGTTCGTTCGATACATTTTTATGAATGCGTAGCTTGACCGATTCGAGTGGACATGTGTGGGCTTTCGGCCTCCGACAACCGCTGTCTGAGGAGAATCGCCCATGTGTGGTGGCAACATCGGGTGCGAAATGATGATATCAGACAACGCATCTTTGGCAAAACGAATCTCCCGCTCCATAAGCTTGTTCTATTGCACCAGTTGAGATGGCTTGGCCATGTCCTGCGCATATCTGAAGAGCGATTGCGACGCCGCGCCCTATTTGTACGTACAGGGCTACGTTGGAGGAGGCCGCGGGGGAGGCGGTCGACCACCTGGCGTCAAAACATCAAATCGCTCACATGCTGTCTATCAAGTGCTGGGCCGGTACGCCTTCCCGGTTGGGGATCAAAAATGATGAATGCCTATGACTTACCACACTCGGAACAATGGCGCAAAACCGGTTGCAGTGGAAACAATGCACGAAAGTTTTCGTGAACTCCCGATTCCAAAAGTAATAACCGCATAAAAAATTGAAAAAACGACGTGCGAAAAAAGGCAAAAAGTTCTTATTGATTCTTCATTGCCTTTTGCTATTGTTGTACATATTCTTGTTCCTACTTAAGTCTCCATGGTTTTGAATGGCCCAATGTCTATATTATAGGCTGTCAATAATATATATATATATATATATATATATATATATATATATATATATATATATATATATATATATATATATATATGAACTAGATTATACGGATTGCGTAGTAAACAACACCGAAAAAGGCAAACGATGGAAACAAAACCCCTCGAAGTCCCAAAGAGATGGCCGTCCAACGCTGCTTTCGAACCATATGGAAAGTGGAGTGGTACACAATGTGGATTAAATTTATTTGATATCATACGAGCAGCTACTAAACGTTCTGACTTACTAACTACACCTACATTCCGAGAATAACAGATTGATCTACTCTAAGTTCGTGTTCGATTTGTGGTAGTTGTAAAAACCAAGATAACCCTCCAGATCCATTACCATAGTTTTCAGGTTCATTCTTCCCATGCAGCAACAAAAGAACCACTCTTCATGGGAAGTGCATTATCAGATGTGACTGCTGATGGCAGCGAAATGCCGGTGCGACAAACTTGCGTAATACTGAGGTCTGATAGCTTTACTTGCAAGTGAGTAAAAAAGAAGAGCATCCTTCATGCTTTATGACAGAGATAGGTATGAAGAGTAAGGAAGACGATGTGAGTATCATGCAGCGCTTGCCACAACGGCGTGGCATTTATCGTTTGGTTGTGCATCACCAATTGCGTGCACGGACAGCGAAAGACAGTCTCAACAAAAGCCGTTATGTAGCAGGAATAATTGATGGTCGTTCTGTGCGAAATATTTTGCCAAAAGCTTTTGGTCTGACCGGAAAATACTCCCAGAATGAGATGGATCTTCCGAGCAGAATCACTAGGTTGACGAAGCGACTGTACAGCTCAAACAGCAAGAGCTAAGCAACGATCAAATGACAGACTGCAGTCTTTGCAACATAAGACTGCCTGGATCAACACCGCGGATTGGGTGCACTACAATCCGCATAATCAACGAAATACCTCATTCAAGTGCTGACAGCTGGGATCATACGTTTGGCGGTTAAACCGTTCGTCGAGTTTTACAAGCTTGTTGCAAATATTTCGCCACTGGTCTAGGCGACATGCGTTGCTGGGTGGCGCTGGTGAGGTCCCCTTGATCGATGACAGAAGGTTAACAACAAAAGTGCTAAAGCTCAGCGAAAAACTCGACCAAGAAACATTGCTGATATTTCGGAGCTATGTGTGGGTATAATATATGTTATGCTACGCACCACCCCCTGTCATGCTACGTTAAGAGGGGTGGTGCCGCGCTGCAGTAAACCCCAATGAAACATATAAGTACATTTACAAATTCAGCAGTCACTCGGCTCAATCCGGTAGGAACAAGGGGCTTGGGAGGACAATGGTGATGAAGGTTATTTCGTCTTCTATAAATGTACAGCTTCTGAAGTCTAAATTTGAACAACGGACCACATCGTGTAACTACTGCATCTATTGGTAAGTAATACATCTCGGGCACATAGTGTTTCCATTTGAAAAGACGTCAGTTATCAGAGAGACGTAAAAATTAGGAAGAGTGAGGATTTCGAGAACGGAGTTCTTCCCCTGGCGAAAGTAGACCTAAAAACGCAATTGGCTCTAGAACGAAGAGGTAGGAAGCCGCCGGGGTCATTTGCTACTCATATACGTGGATGCTGCCCGGATACTGGAACGGGGCACACATCACGCATGGCTGCACGAAAGATACAATCATTCTCAAAGAAAAAGTGAGAATTTACTGAAGCCTGCGAGTCCGGAGAACATAAGGTTTTGGTTGGTTAGGTGCAGTGAACTTTCACATTTCGGGGTACGTTGTAACAGAAACTCTGCTCTCCGCTTGCAATCAATCTACCAGACTGGCACTACTACGGAAAAAAGACAGATCTATCATCATTATTACATCGCACCTTCAGAAAAAGACATGACGATGGGAGACAAGTCGGCCGAATGCAAAGTACAAGTAGAAAATCTGATACGAGTACGGCCTGCATCCCATTGTTACTAACTCAGATAAGGCTGGAAAATCTCGAGTGCTCAATGGCAGTGTAGGTAGTTAGCTGATAGACTACACGAAGGATTCAACTTAGTTAATAGTCACATTAGAGTCTTAGTCAAGTTCAGAACGGGACTCACGCACCTAATGTCCGATCACCCGTAGCGAGATGCAGAGACTGGAACAGGTTCAGCATGTAAATACCACATCAATCCCCAATTTACGGGGTATGCTGTACGAAGAATGATGCAGACGACTAGGACCGTACACCGTGTCATATCGTCTAGTGTACCTTATAATGACGCACTACATACTGCACCTGGGTCACTTCTCTATGCTCAGGCCGCTGCTACACGTAGCCGTACCAAGCAGTACTCCCGGCCAAATGGTACAAGCTAGTGGTACCGGAACTAAAGCGGATAGCTCACCCTCTGATTCGAGTAGGGAAGGGTGAAATATTGTAACAGTTTGCAAGAGAAAATAGTCGCGGCGAAATCCGTGTCGAAATTTAAGCAATTCCTAGACACACAATTTGCGGATCTTAGATTTAGGGAGCGCATGACACCCCAATAATCTGTGGCGCAGCTGTAATATGCTACAAATGCACAGGAATCAGTGACGGGATTCCGCGCACATTCTGATCTAACCACGATGGAGCAACACATAGATCTGCTAGTTCTAGATCCTCAGTATTCAATATACATAGTATTACAGAATATACGAAAGCAGATTCAATGAATGAAGCTATTCGCGAAAGTGACAAATCAGTTGTTTATCACAGAAACTGAAAGGGTGATTGAGCGAACGAGATGAAACGTTTCGAAGCAAAGACTGCTATCTTCAAAGCTCTAGATCTGGCGATCAAAACGCAGTTCCGCTCGATAAGAGATGGGCAAGTACATGTGGCGCACATTCATATCAAAGTAACTGAGTTCTGGATGTGGATCTAACGAGCTGACCTGATCATCACCGAATGATACTAGTGAACGCGCTTCATCGTGCTAGACAATCCGGTTCCAATAGGTTCCAGCTATGCTCCGTGGGTGATGATAGTCAAAGCGCTGAAAGCACTCGAGGTCCACCGACTAAAAGGGGCCAAGCTGCACTGTTGCACCAAAGAATGAAAATCAATGCGATCGTGAATGCACCGCTCAAACGATCAATAAAAATTTCTTTCGTCGCAAAACTGCCGCAGATGCACGAAAACAGTGCTATGGTTCGCAGTGCCCGAAATAAATGTAGCCGGCACATGTCCGTGAATGCTGATGCAACTGTCCAGTGAAATGGACAAACCCATCCTCAATCTCCAGCAAAAGTGGCTATTGATCTACGAAAAGAAGTTTGCACCTTGAGGGTGCAAAGTGCACACCAAAAAAGAAACGCTATACAGTTTGCATCATGGTTGACAAACATAGGAACAACGGCGTCACTATGGCCCAAAGCAACCAAATTCTCCTGGGAACGATCTCAATAGCTCCAGTGTGGAATTCGATAAAACATTGTACGACAGAAATGTGACATTGGAATATTGCCAGAAAAACGGACAGTAATTCACAGTAGACTGTTGTGTACCCACATGACCGAATAATCGGTAGATGAGATGAAGTTCATAACAAGCAGGTGAGCACATTTGCGATCAAGTGTGCCAAACAGAAAATGAAAGATCGGCGGAGTAAAAACGAAGCGTGAAGTGGAGAAACACAGCGTCACATACGACGCCGCGCTCTCATTGACCATAGAGTGAAAACTTAATCTACAATGCCCCATCTGGAACGGAAAGTTGCTTGTTCACTCAACAAGGGTCTCCGTGTCACATTCGGACAGTGGATGGAAATTGGGGACATAACTTCGTCGCTATCGGCATCTGTCAGAAGCTCAAATGGTTATCAAAGAGGTTACAATTGCTCTTCGTGAATCCCGATACCAAGATTGAGCCGCCCCAGTTGCCTAATTTAATCTCCGTTCCATAACTGCCCGAGAAAGTTGGTCGATTCTCTTAAAAAGAACTCAGGAGTGTCGAGTGAAAAAAGAGAAAAATTATTATTATTTTTGCCATAAGTAAATAGCGCAAACAGGACAGGATCCGGGTTAGTAGTGCATATATGGCTGAGAAATGAAACAACCTCACATTTCAGATGCAAAGTTCTCTAAGCGAAATTTTGATTGTGTTAAACTGTTGGATTGGGCCTTAGTGATTCGGAGACATGAAAACAAGTTAAAAATACTCCCAGATGATCCTATCAAGCGAATCAGAAGGCATTAAGAAGCAAATTGGCGGACCTCACACGATTGCCATGGAGCGTAGTGTTCAAAAGGTAAATGGTCAGCATTCATGGTGTTCTAAAGGAACAAGATTAATAAAAGTGAAAAACAATGGAGAGTATGTCGACCTTCGCCAGCGCAGTGAAATTGAAATGAGACAGCTAGTCGCGCAAACAAACCAGGATACAAGAGACTCACCTGCCAAACAAATCGTTGAGTAAATAGACCAGATGTGAAGCGGACTTATTGGAACTCATTTTAGTAAAGCCAACGATATCAGCGAACAGAACACTGACGTTTTCCAGTTGGCTGACGTGAAATTTGCGGAAGGCAACTGCCTGCGGAGGTACGACGCCTGTCTTTGGTATCATACTGCCTCGCGGGGAGCTGGTTACAGCATCTACAGCATTGGCCTCCACACCTAAAAAGAAAAAGTAAATTTTCTGAGAATATCCCACGTGATTTTAACCCATTGGGTTCAAGTAAAGAAATAGCTATTATATTTCACCCACTAATTGAACAACGCAAACAACGTCAACAGTGCCAAAAATTGCGTCGGAAGAGTGAGATGGCATGGGTCTTCAACCAAAAAACAGTCGAATGTGTGGATATTACTGATTCCTCAACGGTGTCAGATTAGAAAAAGTGCAGAACCGTTGGTGTGGTCAAACAAGGTGTCTCGACACTTATAAAGACGATAACAACGGCGCGACCATATCGTTTACACCGCGTCACAGTGCATCCCTCCTATGTTGTACCCTGAATATCTTGAGGACTCCAGTAACCGAACGCGACAACCATAGACGATAGTCACGGAAGACGGCGATGGTTAAGTACGCGAAGGTGGCCAAGGTACTACAAGTCTAGCACAATATCAGAAGGCTTGGTGCAAAATGCGCGATGGCAGATACTAGCACTACTCACTTGGTGATCACAACAGACATGTGAATGCTCCGTGGGCACCGCTGGTCGAATCCAAACAAACTCTCGGTGGCGTCCAAGTAGTGTAGCCACTTCGATGAATAGTATGATAGAAGCGGTCGCATTGCAGCGTTGTAAAATGCGAAGTTACAAGATAATCGGACATAATATAGACTCTATCAGTACCTTATGCCTAAATAATATGGGGTCGCACGATAAATTTAGCACCCTCTTCGGCGACCAGACTGCCAGGAGTAATAGGCAGTTCTGAAAAATAAACTGTCCAACTGATTGGAGTAGTTGGTTTGAAGCGGTGAGGACTAGGGGGCGTAGCAGTCCAGTCCCACAAGGTGGATGGATGATACAGTATAACGAAGTACGCCAAGCTTTGAGCCAGCTCATTTAGAAGAGCCCGTATGGTGGCTGAACACGGCACTGAGAGAGCTATAGCGATGTGTACTGCAAGCTTACCGAATTATCAAGTGGTGAAACATGACTATAGACGAAACATCAAAGAAAGCCACACGTGAGTAAAGGTAGGGGCAAAATGAGTCCCAGAACAGTGCTGACGCATTTCAATTGTTTTGGGGAACAGCAGTTCCTTGTAGACTACTATGTATATGGCCACAATAGCAGTAACATAGAGATCCAAGAATGGAGAGGAATTAGGTTGACGATCCCACCAATGATGAATGGCAGTCTATTTAAGGTCGCTTAGCTTGCAGATTAGCAATAATCATGTGCTAAAGTGGAAGATACAGTGTGGAAACACCATTAACCGGTGGTCGCTACGTCAGGCAATACTCCACAATAAGCCTAGCCAATGGGCAGCACAAGTAAATCGAAAGTCAATGCGTAAGACTTTCGCGCTCTGTAATTGGAATGGAAAAGAAAAAAACAATGAGGGACAGCATCAGTGAGATGCCCAAACAACAGATGGCCATCAATGTCGTACATCGACCGTCATACATAATCAGTAGGAGACAGGAGGTTTTTACATAAATATGAGGGAAAGCGTACAAATTCAGCCGAAGTCCCCTTACACAGATGCGTAGTAGGAGTGCAAAAGGCCTGCTACACGAGAACCTGCAGTGAGTGCACAGTAGTTTGTTCAAAATAGCGTACTAGTCCTAACAGCATATCATCTTAAGAAGTATGCTTAGATGTAAGGTCACACGCAAATTTATAACGGTGCATATCAGGAGACAAATGGCAAAGTGAATCTGAATATCAAAGCAAGTATTGTGATAAAGAGTTGATCTATCCGAAAAAGAATCACCCTGTTCAGTGACATCTGCATTGTTAACCACACAGGGCTTCATATCCTCCATTTCATCTTCGTCATCGTAAAACACGTCCGAGAAGCCCACAACATCACCAGAATCGCTGGTGTTTTGCATGGCATTAGAAGAAGTCGTCTGGAAGGATTTCCGCCTGTGCTTCTTATTCTTCTTAGGCTTCCTCGTTGAGCCAACCGCATCGGTGTCTACTTCCTGAGCACCTGAGTCATGGCCAACGTCTCGCATAACCTCTTGTGCGACTTCATTGGGCATGAGAGATCGAATCATATCATCCCTCAGTTCCTTTTCCTTTTTCAACTCCTTTCGCATCAAAGCGCTGTATCCCAAACGAAGGAAGGTCGAACGACGCCAAACCTTGAAAAAATAACCAAATAAAGGTGGCAAAGAAAGGAGTAGAGACCCGGAACTGACAAACATATGAGTAGCTCCGAAATAACGAATTTGGTGACACACGGAAGCACGGGCGAGCAGCAAAGACCTAAATTATGCTTAATTTGGAGTGAAAATCAGATATCTGGGACAGTAATTGAGCAAGAAGTGGAAGGGGGTTTGCATCTGAAGAAATAAAACAGGGAGATTCTAAATGAGAATATTGTAACCATTGTTGTGTTGGTGTGCTATATGGCGTCCAATTTTAAGAACCTGGAAGTCCACTCGTGTCACCAAAAAGATCAGATCACGATGGATAATCAACTGTGATTAGTGGTTGCATCAAAAACGAGGAAAATATGCTGTTTAGTATTTACATCCAACTCATATAAGTAAAGGTGTACAGCGGCTATCGAGGGACGCAGTAGCACAGCTACGCTAAGACAACGCGTTCAACGAAATTTCGAAACTGGGTACCAAAATTAGTCTAAGGATATAGCATTTCATACTGCACCATGTTCATTATGACGCCAAAGGTAAAGGTAAAAATAAAAGAGATAAAAAACCAAGGCTACTAAATGGGAAGAAAGTTGCTTGACGTGAGTGTTCGTCTTAATTACTATACCGAGTGCTATCAGGGTACAAGCAATGGCTCAGAACGGACGCAACAGTAAACAAATAAAGTTTCATTCTCGACTGTACAAGGCACACACAATTAGAGGCGTCAAAACAAAAGCAACACTTAGTACTGTTACTCTGCTGTCGCCCAACAGCAGGCTTTCTGCGTAGGATTGTGCAATGACTGCCCGCTCGAGACTATGGGGAAATATGTGCTGCAATTTGAAAAGCCGCAAAAAGGGTTGCATATTCTTCTTATGAGACACGAAACGGACTATAGTCTACAGTATGTAAAAAATGGACAAAGTCATCTTTATTATCAAATTACAGTGTCGGTCAAATAATTAGGTGCTTCAGTTAACTATTGGCTAATACCAACGCAGTGCTAAAAGGCGCAAAGTACTAGTCAACCCAGACGTTAAGGATAAGTTGCAAAAGTAAAATGAAAGCTTTTGTATAATTCCTCAGACCGTATTACGATATATTGAAGTAAAAATGTTTACAAGTGAAACTAAAGCCCAATAAGCGGCTTATTTTCAAAAAAAATTGATAAACGAGTAAAAATGCTGATAGACTAGAAGGGTACATTTGTGTTAGCCTCTAATTAAATAGATCCAGGAAGAGGGCACTCTTCGCCATTTCTTGGAATGAATGGTTATTACGTGATAACACGAAGTAGTTTCGTGTGCTGTAGACGTGGTGAAACATAGCGTGCAGGCGCTGTAAAAGCTCGCCGCGTGGAACTGTGGAAATGACATTGTAGGAGAAGCAAACTGGGAAGAACAACTGCTTGTTGTCATCCAGAAGAATCCGAAGAATCTGGATATCAAAGGATAAATATAAAACGGGCAAATTTATCGTGTCTGCGGAAACAAACTTAGGTTGACACAATTAAGAGCCATTAGATTTAATGCATTTGCTGTCTGGATTCAATAAGAGGTTTGGAAGGACGAGCAGACGGACTTTATTGACCCTATTCAAACTCCATCATCGGATTCAACCATGATGCTGGTTCTAGACACACTTCTATGTGAGGCTCAGACGCAAGATTGGAGTTCTCGGTGGATTTTAGCCATCGAGATATCAACTGGAAGGTGCAGTTGCTGCTTCCAACGCTCCGACTTAATGAAAGAGTAAAACCTCGAGCAGGGAAATATCTATCCTTAGATGGGATAGTGGAAGTAGTTCTTCGACACAGTATGGAATGAAGTGACAAACATAGGACGAAAAGTATCGGAACTTCTTCACAATGGATATTGTTACGGTGATTCCAAAGGAAAAGATTTGCACAGCAAAGGTGTGATTCGTTGAGAGCGAATCCAGGAGAGATGGCCTGAAATCGCAATTGCTTGTGCAAATCAGTGACCTTATTTTAGGACGTGCGCACTGTTAAGAGGCAGTCATAAGAACATTTGATGGGTGTTAGGAAGGCTGCCTCCAAACGAATTAATCCTTTTTGTTAAAAATTACTGAATACTATACTGAATACTGTATTTTGGAGCAAGTAGAAAATAATTCTGTACAACTCCATCGGTTGATAATCAAAAAACATTTTAAAAAAATAAATAAACACGTCCGGTGGTTATCCTGAGATGGTTCAGCAACTCCTTCTGTAGCACACAAAATGCTTGTTTACACAGTGAGTCACAAGTGGGTGATATCGTTGTCAAGTGGCAACCGTTCTCTGAAACGTATGCTAGCGAAGTGTAAATCCAACAAAGATTTGAATTTCTGCACAGATTCGGCCTCGACGACGTGTTCTGGCAGACTGTTCCAGGCGTGCACAACCCTCCGCTCGAAACACAGGGGGTGTGGGATTTTCTTCAGATCAGGTACCACGAGTTTGTACCTGTGCCCACGTGTGGTGCATGGTACTCGCAAGTGGAGTAACGACCTTAGCATGGGGAAATGACCGAGATGTAAAATACAGTAGGTCATGATAAGATCCACTCGAACACGGCGATATGACAAGGTGTAGAGCCCAAGTTTCATGCACCGGTTTTCATACGATAAGCCTCTCAAGCTGGGGATCAACTTGGTGGCGACATGTTGTACTCGTTCGATCTTTTGCGCTTCGCCGTGAGTGATCGGACAGTATGCAGGCGAGCCGTACTCTACCATTGGTCTGACGATGGAAGAGAAGAGGCGAGTGGCGACGTCCTCAGACCAAGTGCAGAAACTGCGTTTCAGCGCCCAGAGCATGCGCAGTCCGTTTCGATACAGTTTGTTGGTGTTGTCGACGGACTTCAAGTCGCAGCGTGAGAGTACACCTAGGTCTTTCACGGAAGGTGTGGGATGCAGTGGTTGGCCGTCTAGGGTGTACGTTCGTCCGTGAACAGCCTTCCCAAGATTCATGAATAGGGACTTTGTCGGGTTGACCGGTAGGTGGACTTCAGCAGACCATACTGCGAGGCGGTCGAGGTCTTGTTGGGAAATGTCACAGTCATCGAGAGTAATTATTTCTCGCCAAATTTTGAGGTCATCCGCAAACAGTGCACACGGCGACCGTAGAAGCTGGGGCAGCTCGTTGATATGGATGAGAAACAGAGTAGGTCCCAGTACCGTACCTTGAGGTACACCACTGGTCGAGGGATACCAATCGGTTAGATGGCCGTCCACCTGTACCCTCCACTTTCTTCCAACGAGAAATTCATGGATCCATCGATGTAACGATCCTCCGACACCACACGACCTTAATCTGTCTAGAAGCAATTCATGATGGACGTTGTCGAATGCTTTGCTGAAGTCGATGTAGATTACGTCGACGGACTTTCCCCGGTTCAGTGCTTGCAACCATTCCTGTCTCGTCACAAGTAAGTTGGTAACACAAGAATATCCCATCCTGAATCCGTGTTGTGCCGGTGTCAGAAGTTCTTTCGATTGCAACAGATGGATTAAACACTTTTTTACTATCTTCTCGATCACTTTGGCCAAAACGGGTGTAAGACAAATTGGCCGGTAGTTATCCACCTTACTGGGGTTGCCACCTTTCGGGATCGGCCTCACCACCGAGCGCTTCCAGTCGTTTGGCAATGAGCCCTCAGACAATGATTCGTTGAATAGATCCGTAACAGCAGGCGAGATAATGGCAGCTAGTGATTTGATAATTAGCGGATGAAGCCCGTCAGGCCCTGCAGGCTTAGTACCGTCAAGGTTCGCAAGTAGCAGGCGCACCTCGTCGACATCACAAACCAAACTGTTGAGTTCTACAGGAATGTTACTCGCTGAGATGGGTATGGACGCCGCGTCGTTTGCAAACACGGAAGCGAAGTGAGCGGCCAGTGCGGACGCGCGATCGGAACTGGAAGTTAGCAGGTGTCCGTCCGCGTCTTCCAGACATGACACGTCACCTTTTGGCTTCAAACGGCGTTTCACGTAAGCAAAGATCTTCTTTGGGGCCATCCTCGCGTCAGTTGCAAGCTTTTCTTCGAACTTCCGGCGCTTTATCAATTTCACTTTGTTGCAAATATTTCGCTGTCTTGTATATGCTTCGTAATCAGTGGCGGAGCCAGAGAGGCGAAATGCGTCCCACATTCTTCGCCGTAACCGAGCCAGCCTACCATATTCCTTGTCGAACCAGTGTGGTTTGATTGGTCCGACTTTCTGAAATTTCAACGGCACAAACTGAGAACAAAGCGAAGCCAATCCTTCCTTTATTACTGTCCAACCGTCCTCCACAGATGTAACATGCGGTAGAGACCAATCCATTTGGCTCGCTGCTCGATTTAATCCATCGAAATCAGTTTTCCAGTAGTTGTAAGCTGGTTCCACCGGAGATACACTCGGCAAGTTCAGTTCCATAGTGGCTATCAGCACGGAATGGTCGCTTTTAGCTAGGGGCTCCTGGATTCGTATGTCATGCAACCGCTGTGCGCAATTTGTCACCATCAAATCAAGGCACGATGGGTTCGAACGCGCCGTCATGCGCGTAGGTTGGTATATGTGTTGCCATGCCCCAGTTTCAAGCAACAAGTCAACAAACTTTGATTCGACTTCAGAATACCCGGGCATGAGTTGGATTTCAGGCCATTGAATGTGGGGACAATTGAAGTCACCCATGAGTAGAAAACATGGACGACTCATGTTGTTCCGAAGATGCGGTAGCCAATCTAAAGAGCGGTTCAGAGGGTTACGGTAGAATGCACCTACTGTCAGCTTGCCGCGCCTGAGGTTGATCGAGCACCATACCTGTTCACACAGTCCATCTTCACTTCGGTACACGCTTACAAGCCTCCCACGCAGGGAAGACCGTATATAAAGTAAGACACCACCACGAGGATTTGATATTCTATCGCAGCGAAAGCATGAGTAGCCACTGAGATCGACTTCCTCTGCCATTACCTCAGAAGTTAGCCATGTCTCCGCCA